TATGATGCCTCAATACTTGAATATTTAGAACTTGGTCATATGCGGAGGATCAATCCGGATGAAGAGACGAATGCCCATTATTATGTACCACCCATGCAGTAATTAAGCCAGATCGAATCACGACAAAGTTAAGAGTCGTCTTCAATGCTTCTTGTCCTCATCAAACAAAACAGTCTCAATGACATATTGTTTTCCGGGACCCATTTTACAAACGATTTGGTACTACAAATTCTAAAATGGAGATTTTTTAAGTATGCTTTTACGCCGATATTACTAAAATGTATAGGCAAATACTGTTGGATTCAACTCAAACAAAATATCAAAGAATTCTGTTTAGAAATCGCCAACAGCCCAGTTGAAGACTATGAATTACTAACTGTAACATTTTGAGTAAATTGCGCACCGTTTCTGGCACTGAGAACTCTTATGAAATTGGCAGATGATGTTCAAGATTCGTATCCAATAGCTGCAAGAATTATAAGACAAAATCTTTATGTGGATGATGTACTTGCGGGTGGCACACAATTGAGGAGACTATAAAGCTCGGAAGGACTTAGTAGCAGCGCTCGAATCCGCTGGATTTCAACTTATGAAATGGGCCTCAAATTATCATACAATAATAAAGATATTCCACAAGAAAATTTATTGCCTCTTAACTGTGTTGGATATCTCTGAAGATGCGTCCACGAAAACGTTGGGAATTCGATGGAATATATCAGGTGATTTTTTCACTTTTACACCTCCAACCGTGGAAACAAAAACATTTACACAAAACGAGAAGTTTTATCAACTATAGCCAAATTGTTTGATCCATGCGGATGGCTAGCGCCAATAGTGGTCGTAGCAAAACTGATAATGCAACACATTTGGCTGGATAAATCGATTGGGATGATACACTGAAACCAATCACCCATATAAATTGGCAAAACTTTGTCAAAAACAGCAATGATATTAAATCTCTCAGAGTTCCAAGATGGATACAGTTTACACTAGATGCTTCTGTTGAGATTCATGGATTTTGTGACGCATCGGAGAGCGCGTATGGAGCAACGCTATATGTTCGGATTGAAAAAACTGACCATACCACACATACCTTTTATTAGCAGCAAAGACTCGTGTAGCACCAATCAAAAAACTATCAATACCAAGGCTCGAATTATGTGGGGCAGTATACTTTTCAAATTAGCAAAATCTATTACAAACAGTCTACAAATATCAAAATATTCAACACATTTTTGGACAGACTCTACTATCATCTTGGCCTGGTTAAAAAAGCCTCCTTGTCATTGGAGCACCTTTGTGGGAAATAGAGTCTCGGAAATATCTGATAATGTTGGGCAAGAAAACTGGAAACATGTTGACTCTGAAAGCAACCCAGCTGACATTGCTAGTCGTGGATGTTCTCCAACTGAACTAACGACTCCTGAGCTCTGGTGGCATGGACCCTCAATGGCTCAAAAAAGATCGTTGGCCATCGCAAGATATCCCAAACGACACAAATTTAGAGGCTAAGCTGTAAAAGTTCTGACTATATTTCAAGAAAGAGATGATCCATTAAAAAATTTCTCATCATTGGCAAAAGTCTACCGATCATACGCCTATGCTCTGCGATTTTGGAAAATACTGCGCAAATCGGCAAAATCTTCGCTCCTCATCAATAGATCTTACCGCAGCCGAAATCCAAGATGGAAAACGATCTTGCATAATTCGTACACAAAAATTCGTTTATGCAGATGAATATAATTCACTAATGAAAAAGTCTCCAATTTCTCCATCTAGCCCTCTATTGACGTTAAACCCGTTTCTCGACTCAAGGGTATTATTCGAGCTAATGGCAGATTAGTTCATCTCCAGCCCTTACATATAGCGAACGTCATCCCATAATACTACCACACGGAACTACCCTTAGCAAATTGTTGGTCGAATTCACTCATAAGATCACTTTACATGGTGGCAATCAATTGATGACCCGAGTGCTAAGATCCGAATTCTGGATATTTGGACTCAAATCTCTGGTTAAACAACTATACGAAAATGTCGAATCTGCTTAATTCACAAGAAACAAACCCAAACTCAAATAATGGCCTCGCTGCCACCCCGAACGTACTTTTCTGTCTCGACCCTACAAACACTGGGGTAGATTTCGCAGGACCCTTTAATATTAAAAGTTATTCAGGAAGGGCTTGCTTTATTACAAAAGGCTATGTTTGCCTGTTCGTCTGCTTCGCCACCAAGGCTATACATTTAGAACCAACTAGCGATTTATCTACATATGCCTTTCTCGCCGCTTTCTCCAGATTCATAAGTCGGCGAGGTTGTCCGTCTTGTATATTTTCCGACAAGGGACCAATTTTGTGGGAGCGGTCGATCTATTAAAGCGAGATCGATTAGCTTTCATGAAGGATATTCAAAGTACCACAATCCAAAACAATTTCAATCAAAATCTTACTTGGAAATCTTACCTGGCGCTCCGCACATGGGCGGTTTGTGGGAGGCCGGCGTTAAATCGTTTAAAATGCATTGCGAAAAAGGTGTTCCAAAAATGAATTTCACATTTGAAGAATTTACAACTATCTTAGCAAGAATTGAAGCCTGCCTTAATTCGCGACCCTTAAGTCCTGGTAGCGATGATCCAAATGACCTTTCCCCCGTTAACTCCTGGTCATTTCTTAATTGGAACATCAATTCTTACTCCTGCTGAACCCGACATTTCCGACACAGATCTTAGTCTAGTAAATCGTTGGAAACGACTCAAAGTTATTTCACAATACTTTTGCAATAGGTGGAAATTAGAATATCTCCACGAACTTCACAGAAGAACTAAATGGAAGCGTGAAAAGGAGAATGTCAAAGAAGGAGATTTAGTAGTCATAAAGGACGATAGGTTGGCTCCAAATGAATGGAAGTTGGGTCGAATTGCAAAAACATATCTCGGTAGCGATCAGAATACGAGGGTTGTAGACATACGGATATCAAGTGGCAACATTAGCAGACCTATCACAAAAATTGTCAAATTGTTTTCCGACTGACTAGCCGGAATCCTACTTAAAAAAGAACATAGTACTCGCCTTTGGTTTTTTTTCAGATATGGCTGCCTACTTGCCCAATCAAGACTGCCGTTTAGATGATCGCAGCCGCAAGTCCCAACCAATCCGCACGTCCAACAGCGAGAAGTTCTAGCAGACCCAGACGCCCAACCGAACCCATTCCCAGCAGACCGGCTCATAGACACCGCAGACTTCCCAGTTCCACATCGCCAGAAAGACGTCAACGAAGCCGCTCCGCTGCAAGATCCCGCCAACGCCAAGAACGACCCAGCTATTGGCAGTATTCCTGTGGGTTGTGTCAGGAGGACCATGCCCTCAGTGCTTGCGAGAGGTTTCGCCACCAGACCCCCTTCCAGCGCTATGAGACTGTGGAGCGTAGGGGGTACTGCAGAAATTGCCTTGCCAGAAGTCATTTGGCCCCTGACTGTCCGTCGTTGACTGGTTGCAGGAGGTGCAACAATCGGCATCATACGCTGCTACACGGGGCGTCTCAGCTGGAGGAAGTATCTCTAAACGTGGAAGTTGTAACAACACCAAACTTTGCGTGGGATTTGGTATTTGTGCCAACGGCTATGGTGCGCATCAAAACTGACAAAATAGAGGGGTACACCATGATAAGGGCATTAATCAGCCAATCAGCGACGATGTCCAAAATATCGTATGCGGCTTTCCGTAGATTGGGCTTACAATCGCGGATTTACAAAGGGCAGCGATTTACCACCTTTACGGTTTCGCCCCGCCGCACAAACAGCCACTGGAGTCAATGCCTTGATAATCGAAGATTTGCCCAGGCGCATTTACTCGGACCCGATCCTCGAGGACCCCACAAGAAGTTTCAGAAATTGCGCCCTAGCCGACCCTGATCCCCGAGGCAACAATCCCGTCGATGTGGAACTGGGTGCTGACGTTTACTCAGCCATAAGAAAAGACGAGTGCAAGGAGGCTGGAATTGGAGATGTCCTGGCCTATGATACACAGCTGGGTTACGTGTTTGCAGGTCCAATAAAAAATATGCCAAAAATATAAAGAACAATATTGTATTTCAAAGATGAATGTAAACACTTGTCATTCGGGGGCCAGAAATGTTCATAAAAGATGCTAGTTTTTTGCGCAACAGTGTTGTTTGTTACATTACCGGTGGCTGCATAAATAACATAAAAAAATGATGTACATATACACACACACACATGCACATATATGCAGCCACCGGTAAATTCCAATGCTGAATTCAAATAAATAAGCATCGTCACCAGCCAAAACAGGTTTGCTGTGACGATGCAAATTGGAGGTAGATCAGTTCTGTCTCAAATTTAAAAGCGCATACGCAAGGTTCCCCCCCGAAGTGAACAGTGCCCAAAACAGAAAAAAAGTGTCAACAAAAAAAAAACATCATACAAAAAACATTGTACAAAAAACCAAAACCAATTGAACAAAAAAAAAGTAAAAATTAATTGAACAAAAAAAAAAAAAAACCTAAAACTAGAACAAAAAAGTGTGAACGAAACAAATTGAATTTTAAACATTGAAATAAAACAATACAAAAACAAAAAACAAAAATAAAACAACATCTTTTAATTAAAGAAAACATAAAAAAAGGTGAAATAAAAAACAGTACATATAAAAAAATATGTTCGGCTTTTGGATATCTTTTATCCAGTCAGTTCAATTACAAATAAGATAAATTCATTCATATTAGTAATTTCTAAGTAAGTTATGTAAATAATATAAATTAGTGAAATCCACGAGATTTCGAAATGTTAAACAGCTATAAAACACATATAATGTTAATTCAATACATTTTGATATTTAATATCGTATCAGTCAGTAGGAGATCATATGTAGCATAAAAATTTGTGTTTTTTTTTTTTTTTTTCTGAGAAAAAATAAATCTTAATAAAATATTTAAGTTTTAATATAAATACGGACTTATTTATTTAACAGTAAAGAAATCACCTTCAACGAACACCCCCTCCATAAATAAATAATAGTTCCAAAACGTCTTTTAGTGATTGTGGACTGATATTTTGTGGTTTGCTTATAAGTTCCCTCATAAGGCACTGAACTTGCCATCCAGCTTCGTTTTGATGTTCCACACTAATTTCCTCCATTTGCCCAGCAACAAAATTGCCCAACCATGCAAACTTTAATTTCTTCTTTTCAGATAAAACTTTCCTAAGTACATTTAGGCCATTTCTAAAATTATTCATTGTGTTCTGAAAAGAAAGAGCTGTTATTTACTTCCTACGTAATAATAAGTAAACAAAAAGTATCAGTCAACCGATCTTTTACCAAGGGAAAAGCAAAGCTTCTGAAGGATACAAGATTTACTTTAAGCTTCTTCTTTGGTAGTTCTTGGGTATATTTATAATCCTCGTTTACATCTTTCGCATGATCCTCGCACACATCTTCTACATGACCCTTGCTCACATCCTTTACAATGTGTTCCGGAACTGTGTTCTGAAAATGTAAGTACATAATAATTATATACATATATCATGACGCCTTTAGCGAAAACTTTCCTCAATGTTATGCGTTTTTAAGAGGCATAAATGATCATAGCACCATAGCTTAGGTGAATAGAGATAGCCATTTCCTGCGCCACTTTTCCTTGAGTTTGCGAGAAGCCTTTGGTCCTGCATAAATTGCACTCTTAAATTCCTCCATTTTCGCTGGGCCTCCTTTACATGTAGGGAACCATCATATTTTAACAATCCGTCCCCAACTTTTGACCATACTTGGGCCTTTTTAACCCTGTCCAAATACTCAGGGGAACGACAGTTATATAAACAGGGATGTTGTTGCACGTATACATTTAGATGTTCTACAGCCTCATGAGTCCATTTCACTGCCACATTTTTTTCTATTTGCACTTTCTTAATACTAATCTATAATATAATTATATTATTGTCCTCAATATATTATTTTATTTAATATAATGTTATTGTAATATATATATATATATATATATATATATATATATATATATATATATATATATATATATATATATATTTTTTTTTTTTTTTTTTTTTTTTTTTGATTTCTTGCAGCACAATTTTTAAATAATTTTTCTATTGCCTGTGTACAACTCGAAATATAAAATGAAAAGAAATCAAAGAAATGACGTGCAGCCATCTTGATTTGAGAGTTACGAATTTAAGCACAAATAAAATTTTCAGATTACAGAAGGTTGTGTACATAGTGTCACCCCCTATACCTCTTACTATAAACTCATTTTCACATTAATGAAAATTTTCATAGTCTGACATAACTAACGTGACCATACGTCCCGCTTTGGGCGGGACAGTCCCGCTTTGAGGTTATCTGTCCCGCTGTCCCCAGCGAGAGCAAAAATGTCCCGCTTTCGAAAATACTGGATATTGATATTGATGAAAAATACATGAGTTATTTTTTTCCTCGTGAACATATAATTTATTTGCATAGTTTTTTTCAAGCAACATTAACATTAAAATTAACTCGAAAGATTTTGTAATGCTAATGCTGGAGTTAATGTCGACGTCGTCGACAGCGTCAAATTTCAAAAAAATTGAATCGTATGAAATTTTATGAGAGCAGTTAATCTTAACGCCGTAAGAAATTCGACGCCGAAAAAGTTCAATCTGTTTTAACTTTTTCGGCGTCGTCGACGGCGTTGACATTAACTCCAGCATAACAAGGGAAATCACCAAATTAAAAATGCTTATAAAAACAGAAAAAGTTTCTGTCACTCTGTCAGTACCCTAAGCATAGACGCTCTAAATTGTTCTGGTATCTTTTCATCGAGGAGTCGGAGAAGGCGAGCAAAGTCAAACAATTTATTTTCAATGTTAGTGATTGTAACATTACAATAATGCCTAAACACAAGTGTACTTTTAACATTTCTTTGCAAAATAAGTATCCATTTATAAAACAAAGAAGTGGTGAATCAGACGTTACGTGTGAAAAATGTACTGATTTTAGTGTTGGACATGGTGGTGCCAGTGATATTGAGAATCATTTCAATCGGAAAAACAAAAGCTTTCTGATCAAGCTGCCGCTTCAAGCTCGTCAATGCTTTCTTTTTTTAAAAGAACAAATTTGGCGACTTCCAAAGACTTGGATATAGCTGCAGCGGAGGGTGCGTGGGCGTACCACACAGTGCAAGAAAACCACAGTTTTCGTTCGGATGACTGTGCTTCAAATCTAATACAAACATGTTTTGAGCAAAAATTTAGATGTGCCCGTACAAAATCACAAGCTATAGTTGTAAATGTACTGGCACCTATGGCAATGGACGAATTGAAAGAACACCTTCACGAAGCCCACTGCATATCTTTATTAACCGATGCTTCCAATCATGGCTCAAAAAATTATTCCCTGTTTTAGTTCGCTATTTTGTACCATACGAAGGCGTGAGAGTCAGGATTTTAGAGTTTCAAAAGCAGCCAGGCGAATCATCTGATATAATTGTGGATTATTTGAAAGAAGTATTATCTTGCAATGATTTGAATAAGAAAATTGTGGCATTTTGTGCAGACAATACAAACTGCAATTTCGGAGGAAAGAATAGAAAAGGGATAAATAATGTTTACGCGAAATTGAACCTATCCGTCGGAAGGCAGCTCATTGGGATTGGGTGTGGAGCCCATATAATTCATAATGCTATCAAAACAGCCGCAGATTGTCTCCCTGTTGACTTCGAATGCATCATTGTGAAAATTTATTCATTCTTCTACATCTACAGCATTCGGGTAGAAGTTCTGAAAGAGTTCTGTGATTCCACCGACACAGAGTATCAGAAACTGTTGGGCTACAGTAAAACAAGGTGGCTTGCTTTAATGCCGGCGCTTGAGAGAATTTTAAAGATGTTTCAGCCTTTGAAAACCTATTTTCTGAGCATAGATAATGCCCTACTATTTTAAAAACGTTTTTCGAAAATCCCAGCTCTGAATTGTGGTTATATTTTTTGCACGCACAGACAGCGATTTTTCATCAAGCCGTGTTGAAAATCGAGGGACAAAACGTGTCCGCAATAGAGTCTGCGAATGTAATCAGCTCCATTCCTACTTGAAAACTAGACCCGATATTTTAAAACTAATTTGCTCTGCTGACAAATGGAGGGCTCACTGCTATACCGAACCAAGTTATGAAAAATAAAACAAACCGAAATTAGTGTCAATATCCCCGTATATGGAAACTCTGTTTACCCTGTAAAGAACAATGTCAAAAAGTGTTTCGTTCCAAAGATGACGGCAAAAAACCTAAGTCAACGACTGTCTTCTTCGACTTTTTTCAAAGCAAAAATAAACCAAGTCACTCTGAATTAGTACTATTAGTGAGCACGTGTTTATTGTCGTTCAGTTTTCAGCAATATTAAAAAAATAGTGTTTTCTATAAATGGATAGTAATAATAGCAGTGCTAGTGATTTTTCCAGCAATGAAGATGAGGAATATTTGCCAGCCCCAAAAATGATGAAGACGGAAATGACGAATTTTTTATGTGTAAATATTTGTTTAAACCATGGTAAAATTAAGAATTTAAAGTCATTTCAAATAAGCATATCCATCTCTACATTTTGTGTAATTTACTCTGTCAAATTTCCCTGCCTAGGAAATCCATAAAAATTCTGTTAAAATCTTAAAATACCGAATGTAGCCGTATATTAGGGGTTATACGAAGACGTGGACCTGCACAGACAATTTGCAGTCATAGGCTGTAGTATTCATTACGAACTTCAAATACTAAATTTGAAATAGTTCCGGTAATAGTACCGCATATCGGGAGGTACCGTTATATGGGGCTATACGAAGACGTGGACCTACATGGCAGATTATCAATACCAAAAGTCCTGCAGACATAATACACATTTGAGTAAATTTTTATCAACTTACTTAATTTCGTTCGGATGCTAGAGTGATTTCCAAAGACGAACAGACGGACAGCCAGACGTACCTCGCTAAATCGACATAGAATTTTATGCTGATCAAGAATATATTATGGGTTCTGAAATGTATATTTCGAGGTGTTCCAAATGCAATTACAAACGTAATATACCCTCCATACTATGGTGAAGCGTATAAAAATGTTAACATATAATTGCATGACTTTACCCTCTTATTTCTACCATAGTTGAATCCTTTAATTTTCCTTTGTCCTTGTTAACATTAATTTATTTTTATTTTAAAAATCACAATAATTGTCAATTACAATAGAAGCACCCGCAGCTGCCAGCCGACAAACCAAGACATGACTTAAAATAAAACTCCGTAACTAGTGGGAAATTAATCGCTAAAGTTAACTATATTTAGTCATATAACGAAACTTTTATTTTATTTTTTGACTTGGTTCGCTTTAGCTGTGAAACCTTGAAATTTTATTCAGAGTAATAATGAACCAAAGTAGATTTTTTTGTTTTTGAATATTTTTTTTTAGTAATATATTTAAATTATTATTATTTTAAATTAATATCATTAGTTAATTTTGAATATAGACTTTTACATTTTCTTTTGGTAGACTGAAATATTCCTTCCAGAAATTAATGGCAGTGCATTTACTTTACCTCTAAATATCTTCGAATTATGTTTTTATGACTTAGTTCGGTATAGCTGTGTGCCCTTCAAATATAAAACAAATACTTGACATAAGATTAATTTCATAAGTTAGATTTATACGTATTCTCTCCGTTTTTGAATAAAATTTGTTTTTAAATGCATAATTTTTTTTTTTACAAAATTCCGCCGGCGTCCCGCTCTGACGAAAAATATAAATGGTCACATTAGACATAACACATACAGAAAATACTGTGTTAAATAAAGTATTGATTTCGGTCGGTTTTAAGATATGGACCTGACGTATTTGGGTAATACGGTCGTACAAAACATTTTACCATAGTGGGGAAGTTGAATATATGCGTGCGCCATGTCGAATTTCAGGCGACGCTTTATGATGTCGAAGAAGATAGCTAAACTAGTAGATTCTTGCCGGTTCTGGAACACAAAGACATGAAATTGTAAAGGCTGGACAAAACGCACTCTGAACAAATGGTTTGTGACTATACTATTTTGAATATTAGCTCATGACAGAGGCATGTTTATATAAAAAAAAAACACAAACAAAAAAAAACACAAAGAATGACAAATAAGAATTTGAACAATCCAAAAATTTGGTTTCAAAATTCTAATCCAGGGATCTTCCCAATTAATTGCATATTGCGTTACCGATTTAAATTGCTTAACATTGGTAAGTATGGAACAACTCTAGTTTAGTAAAAACTCTTCGATTTTTCGATTTTTTACAGAGGACGGACGGACCCCAGATTTTTGACCCGAAAGTCTGAGGTAATGATGGAGTGATTTTTAAGCGGTTCCGAAGTTATAGTCAAATTATTGATTTGTTGGACCCGGATTTTTTATAAAAACCCCAAAAAGTCGAAAAAGGGTCCATTGTGGGGGCCAACCAAATTGATGATAAATTATTAATGACACTCTTACTATTCCAAAATGATACAATTTGTGGTAATACCTTTTCTGGCTCAAAAAAGAAAAAAAATTCCGGGACCAGGGTTATAATACCTACGCCTGGAAAAAAGTTTTAAAACAATTGAATGGTTAAGCCCCTATCTTTATACTTCTATACTTTGTGGAACAGAGCAATAGTAGTTTCAAGGGAGGCAGAAAATATTTATGTTTTTATACGTTGTAGACTCGTAATTTTAAATCAACTCGATTTCTAGATCCAGTTTTCCTACTTCAAATATTTGTAAAGAAAGAATTGTTCTTATAACTCCAGTTTTTCTCCAATGTTGCTATAGGTACGAATTCAGAAAATGTTGGTGAACAAGATATGTATGTGTATATATATATACCTCAACCTTCATAGACAATTTCTGTCACAGGCTGTAGCTTACATTACTAACTTCAAATAAGACATCTCAAACAATTTCGGTGAGTATTGTACCTAAAATCGTCAAAATACCGAATATAGGGAGGTACTGATATATGGGGCCTATACGAAAACCTGGACCTGCATAGACAATTTTCTGTCACAGACTGTAGTACCCATCACGAACTCTAAATACGTAATGAAACTACTACGGTGAATAATGACGCTAAAATCAGCAAAATACAGAATATTGGGAGGTAAAGTAATATGGGGGCTGTATGAAGACTTGGACCTGCATAGACAAGTTGCTGCCTTAGGCTAGTATTCATTAAGAAATTCAAACATCGAATTTGAAACAATTCCGGTGAATAATGTCGCTAAAATCATCAAAATACCGAATGTAGTGAGGTACCATTATATTGGGGCTATACGAAGACGTAGACCTGCACAGACAATTTTTTGTCATAAGCTGTAGTATCCATTTCGAACTTAAAAACCAAATTTGAAACAATTCCGGTGAATAATGTCGCTAAAATCATCAAAATACCGAACATCGGGAGGTACCGTTATATGGAGGCTATTCGAAGACGTGGATCCGTCATAGGCTGTAGTACCCATTACGAACTTCAAATACCAAATTTGAATTTTCGGTAAATAATATCGCTTAAATCACCAAAATGCCGAATATCGGGAGGTACCGTTATATAAAGACTATGCCAAAACGTAGACCCACATGATTCATTTTCAATACCAAAAGTCCTGTAGACATTTGAGTAAAATTTTATCATAATACTTCATTACAAATATGGTCATAACCCCCCTCATGTAACAAGGATTATGCACAGAATAAAATCTGTCAAAACGATTGCGGACATTAACCCCAAATAATGGTAAGGCATTTTTAACCTGATCCCCTAATATGTATCCAACCTTTATAGCTTTTTTAAGGAACAAGTCTTCGGACTGGGCTTGAGATTTTCTTCTCTGGGGCATGTCCAACAACGGCTACGCAATCCATAGTTGGGCATAAATTAAGGGAAGACTGAAAATTATAAATGAAAACTACAATGTTAACTTTGTTTTCTTTCTCATTCGAGGTACCAAATGTTTGTATCGGCAAAAAAAAAATTTGGCAAATGTCTTTCCAGCAGAATTTAAAATTAGAAAAATACAAAAATATATTCAAAATGTCAACATTTACACAAAACATTGAAAACATGAATGAAAATTGTAAAATTTATGATATAAAAAATCTTTGGGAGAAAAGCAATAATTTCTTCTATCCATATTAGTGATAATTTCATGCATTTTTGCATAAATTCCCATTAAAATCTACAAACAAAATTTTTGAAAAAAGGAATTATTCTACTTTGAATTACGAGTCGTGCCTAATTCTGAGAGCGAAGAACTTGATTGAAAGTGCTATGTGCTATATGCATAAGGCTATGTCTTTTACCGTAACAATGGTTCTATCGTTACCTACTTTAAAACATTTCAAATTAATCTTGATTGAGCGTTATATAAGTGATAATAGCCTTAAATATAAACATTTCCAAAATTTTGCAATGCATACTTACTTCGATTCCTTTATAACTCCATACGCTGCACGCAATCTTTCTTCAAAATCCTCCAGAGTAAAGTTTGGAGGTATAAAAACGCTTTTATTCGACAAATATTTACTGCATGTCGTTCCATTGTATAGTTGGCAAATGCCAACAGAAATCTGAAATTATAACACAGTTATGGATTCATATACTTTTTATAAGACAGTAGTTACCTCTTCCTTAGTTGAAATTCCAGAGCAAATTACTCTCATAAAGGTCCTAAAACAGGCGGGTATGTAAATATATTATATTCTTCATATGACTTATGCCAAAAGGGTTATTAAATACGACCAAATGTCTATTAATAACAACATCCAAACTATGGCAATAGTACAAGCCCACATATTGAATATTTCAAACCCTAGTCTTGTTTACCGATACAACCCAAATTATCTATTTGCTGGCTTGCAATAAGTGTTAAATATGGATGCAAACGTACATACATACACTGTTTTTCAACCCCAATTTAGCATCCAGCGTGCAACTAAACAATGTTGTCGACTTGTTTCTGAAAAACCGCACTAAATTTCTATTACACCGACACTCAATTTACGCTTTATACAACGCATGGTAGAAGAATATAGGTAGACGTGTCGACACAGCTGCTTGGACAATGAACTGTCAAACCAATTTTGGAATTGAAAATGTTGAATGAAAAATTAATTAAATTTGTAAAAATTGTTGAAAAACGCGAATTATAATAGCCTCCGCATATACGTATATGAACGTATATGAAAATCTACTTATATTTGAAAAAAACATTTAAATTTTTTTGACATATCAATGCTCCCAAGCGTTGATGCATCTACCTGTATTCTTCTGCCATGATACAACGATTTTCCATTTTTTGAAGTTTTATCAAAATAAATGACAACCCGTGACACAATTACAGAAGGTAGAACAAAGCTACCTCCTCAATACATTTTTTCTTTTGGTGCCCCTATTCTGTCAAAACATAGACACATTTTGTATATATGTGTGTATTGTTTTGAATAAACAATAAAGTTAGTTGATTTTTTCCAAATTAATATGAAAAATAAATGCATATTTCCGACGTTAATTTTCAACAAATAATCTTTCCATGCATGTTCTGTGGTTTGGCATAGGACATGGTATAATAACTGCAAAACTAACTGATTTGCATCAATTATAAAATTGTTTCAAATTTTACAATTGTAGTATTTCTAAAAACCACAGAAATGAATGGAAAGATTATTTGTTGAAAATAAACGTCGGAAATATGCATTTATTTTTCATATTAATTTGGAAAAAATATACAAAATGTGTCTATGTTTTGACAGAATAGGGGCACGAAAAGAAAAAAATGTATTTAGGAGGTAGCTTTGTTCTACCTTCTGTAATTGTGTAACGAGTTGCCATTTATTTTGATAAAACTTCAAAAAATGGCAAATCGTTGTATAAAGCGTAAATTGGGTGTCGGTGTAATAGAAATTTAGTGCGGTTTTTCAGAAACAAGTCGACAACATTGTTTAGTTGCACACTGGATGCTAAATTGGGGTTGAAAAACAGTGTATGTATGTACGTTTGCATCCATATTTAACACTTATTGCAAGCCAGCAAATAGATAATTTGGGTTGTATCGGTAAACAAGACTAGGGTTTGAAATATTCAATATGTGGGCTTGTACTATTGCCATAGTTTGGATGTTGTTATTAATAGACATTTGGTTGGTATTTAATAACCCTTTTGGCTTTAGTCATATGAAGAATATAATATATTTACATACCCGCCTGTTTTAGGTCCTTTATGAGAGTAAATTGCTCTGGAATTTCAACTAAGGAAGAGGTAACTACTGTTTTATAAAAAGTATATAAATCCATGACTGTGTTATAATTTCAGATTTCTGTTGGCATTTGCCAACTATACAATGGAACGACATGCAGTAAATATTTGTCGAATAAAAGCGTTTTTATACCTCCAAACTTTACTCTGGAGGATTTTGAAGAAAGATTGCGTGCAGCGTATGGAGTTATAAAGGAATCGAAGTAAGTGTGCATTGCAAAATTTTGGAAATGTTTATATTTAAGGCTATTATCACTTATATAACGCTCAATCAAGATTAATTTGAAATGTTTTAAAGTAGGTAACGATAGAATCATTGTTACGGTAAAAGACATAGCCTTATGCTATGTTCTCATTGCACTTTCAATCAAGTTCTTCGCTCTCAGAATTAGGCACGATTCGTAATTCATAGTAGAATAATTCCTTTTTTCAAAAAATTTGTTTGTGGATTTTAATGGGAATTTATGCAAAAACGCATGAAATTATCACTAATATGGATAGAATAAATTTTTGTTTTTTTTTTTTCCCAAAGATTTATTATGTCATAAATTTTACAATTTTCATTCATGTTTTCAACTTTTTGTGTAAATGTTGACATTTTGAACATATTTTTGTATTTTTCTATTTTTAAATTCTGCTGGAAAGACATTTCCCAATTTTTTTGCCGATACAAACATTTGGTACCTCGAATGAGAAAGAAAACAAAGTTAACATTGTAGTTTTCATTTATAATTTTCAGTCTTCCCTTAATTTAAGCCCAACTATGGATTGCGTAGCCGTTGTTGGACATGCCCCAGAGAAGAAAATCTCAAGCCCTGTCCGAAGACTTGTTCCTTAAAAAGCTATAAAGGTTGGATACATATTAGGGGATCAGGTTAAAAATGCCTTACCATTATTTGGGGTTAATGTCCGCAATCGTTTTGACCGATTTTATTTTGTGCATAATCCTTGTTTCATGAGGGGGGTTATGACCATATTTGTAATGAAGTATTATGATAAAATTTTACTCAAATGTCTGCAGGACTTTTGGTATTGAAAATGAATCATGTGGGTCCACGTTTTGGTATAGTCTTTATATAACGGTACCTCCCGATATTCGGCATTTTGGTGATTTAAGCGATATTATTCACCGAAAATTCAAATTTGGTATTTGAAGTTCGTAATGGGTACTACAGCCTATGACGGAAAATTGTCTATGCAGGTCCACGTCTTCGAATAGCCTCCATATAACGGTACCTCCCGATGTTCGGTATTTTGATGATTTTAGCGACATTATTCACCGGAATTGTTTCAAATTTGGTTTTTGAAGTTCGTAATGGATACTACAGATTATGACAAAAAATTGTCTGTGCAGGTCTACGCCTTCGTATAGCCCCAATATAATGGTACCTCACTACATTCGGTATTTTGATGATTTTAGCGACATTGTTCACCGGACTTGTTTCAAATTCGATGTTTGAATTTCTTAATGAATACTAGCCTAAGGCAGCAACTTATCTATGCAGGTCCAAGTCTTCTTACAGCCCCCATATTACTTTACCTCCCAATATTCTGTATTTTGCTGATTTTAGCGTCATTATTCACCGTAGTAGTTTCAAATTACGTATTTAGAGTTCGTGATGGGTACTACAGTCTGTGACAGAAAATTGTCTATGTAGGTCCAGGTCTTCGTATAGGCCCCATATAGCAGTACCTCCCTATATTCGGTATTTTGACGATTTTAGGTACAATACTCACCGAAATTGTTTGAGATGTCTTATTTGAAGTTAGTAATGTAAGCTACAGCCTGTGACAGAAAATTGTCTATGAAGGTTCAGGTCTTCGTGTATCTCCGATATCACGGTACCTCCCTATATACTAGCCCAATATAATGGCTATATTTGGTATTTTTAAGATTTTAACAGAATTTTTAAAGAATTTTATTTTTTGAAATTTTTCTAATTCGTTCCAAATTGTGGAGGGTATTCAAAGTTCTGCCCGGCCGAACTTATTGCTTTTTAACTTGTTTTATTTAATTTCATTAGGAGTTGTCCTGCTTGTGGCAACCCAAATAAATTTAAAATTCGTCAAAAACTAGCTGGCCCGGCTTGCGTTGCCGCCCTCTTACTTTTAGTCTTTAATGCATATTTTTGAAGCGCAATAAATCACAGATCTGACTATAAGTCACAATTTTTACGAAAATAAACACTCAAGCATTATTAGATATTTTAAATAACCTGTCAGTCATAGGCCTTAATTTGAGTGTAAAAAACCTATATGATAAAGAATATCTACATACAATAGCCCCATGTGAAAACTCAGCACAGTTGGTATTGTAAAGAGCTTAGAAACGGTTTGACATTTCGGTGTTTATTTCATATAGACCTACATCCCAAATCTACGTTCCGAACCAATTGTAAATTGTATGCGAAGAGGTTTTGTATCCCCTTTAGAAACAAAGTTGCCAAGTAAGGGCCAAAAAATGAAAAGAGGCCAAGAGCCTGAAAATAGCTTAAAACATATGATGGTTATACCAAAACGAGATAATTTTTTGCAAGGATGGTTTCTTTTCAATTTACCAACACTTGGCGAAATTAGTATGAAAAATATGGTTAAGATGTAAAATATACTTGGAATCGGGTTGTACACTTATCCGGGAGGTTATGACCCATATCGTGACGTGTAAAAGCGATTTAAGGTATCTTGAAAGTTAAAGAAGAAATCATTTTCTTAATGTCCAATTCGCTCTACTATGTTGCACCCTTTATATTCGGTATTTCACTGATTGCAGTCCCAATGGTTTTTGCATTTTGAGTTCTTATTGGACGGATTATTGTCATGTATCCTTCACATAATGAGATGGAGCTAATATATGCGATATATATTCACCTCTACGTCGATTTTCACAAAATTTGTCGGAGGCATTTGTAACTCTCGTACCGAACGACATTGCTATAGAGTGTATGATATGAAAATGATTATATTAAAATCTATATATCTGAGAAATATACAGGGTGAGATGAAAAAACTCATAGGTCCACGTTTTAAAATGAGCCCCATAACGCTTTGTCGGTCATTTGTGTTTGTTTAACCCTTTCAGTGTTTTTGTCAAATATATTTGACATTTAAAAGTACTCTCTTTCTTTGCCATTTTTTGTTTTTCTTACGAACCGTTATTTTTGATATTTTTTAATAACAGACACGTACGCTATTTAAAAATACTGCAGTTCTATTCTATTAGTTTCGTTTTCGAATTTCTGAGCACATTTTAGTAAATTAGTACGGAATTTCAGATTTTTATCTCGACAAAAATTTTCATTGACACTGAAAGGGTTAAATGTGTTCGCTAGTTAATAGTTAGATGCCCATTTTAGATATAAAAGATGGCTATTTAATATCGTATTGGGAACTCGTTTCATTTTTAATATTATTCAGAATTCAAAACAACAAGAAATTAACACTTCAATATAGTATGTCAATTTGAAAAAAATTTATGCCAAAAAGATATTTTTCAATCACATTTTTATTGGCATATTTTCACGCAATTTTTTTTGCCAAGTTTTTTCCGTTATATGGGGGCTGCATACAAAAATTGTTGTCATAGGCTGCAGTTTCGATTACGAATTTCAAATACGAAATTCCGGTAAATAATATCGCTAAAATTATTAAAATAGCGAGTATCGGGAAGTACTGTTATATGGGGGGCTATGCGAAGAAGTGGACCTGTATTCGAAATTTTTTATCATAGGTTGTAGTACCCATTAAGATATTCCAATACGAAATTTGAAACGATTCCGGGTGTTGTTTTTGTAGCAGTAGTGCATGTGTGTGTTTGTGTTCTGCTAATCTGGTTCCAGCTCCAGGTTTAGAAATTCGGCTACTTTAACGGGCTGTAGCCAGAGATCCTCTGGAGTGAGTTGGGTAGGTTTGGCTGAGCAATTAAAAAGGTGTAGCGTATTGTGCGGGCCTGTATCGCACGCCGGGCAGGCGTCACGCACATCTTCATCAATTCGTGCCCAATACGAATTGAGGCGACTACACCATCCTGAACGTAATTGCGCCAAAACTACCCTGGTTTGTCTAGGCAGCTGACGTTCTTCGGCTGCAATGGATGGGGGGTGGACTCCGAGGACGGCATTCACTTTATAACTGCTCATAGCATCCTCGACTGCATCGGTGTGAATGCCACTCAGACCTGCCTGATAGGCTTCTTGATCTAGAGGCTCTCTCTTGTAGCGCTGGACCTCCCTCTCTAGATCATGTATGTCCTTCCTGACACGCCTGGGTGGGGGAGAGTTATCCACCATATGATGGTTGGGATGACTCTCACGGTAACACCCAAGCAGGTACTGCAACGAAAGCATATGATTATGCTGACGTAAGGGAAGGACTTTCGCCTCCTCATGTAGATGGTCCACTGGTGTCATGAGGAGGCACCCTGTCGCAGTTCTCAGGGCAGCGTTCTGGCAGGTCTGGATAATCTTCCACTGCGTAGCACTAGTATTCGCAGACCACACTGGAGCCGCATAGTTGACCACAGACCGACCTATCGCGTTATAAGAGGTCAACAAGGTTTCTTTGTCCGTACCCCAAGAGCTGCCGGCTTGCGCCCTGAGGACCTTGTTCCTACTTTTCATCTTGTCGCAGATAGCTGTGGCTTGCGCGGACGACTTGAACATGCTGTCGAACGTTACCCCAAGAATCTTGGGGTAGTTCGTGGTCGGTATTAGATTCCCCTCGACCTGAACATTCAGCTGTGTTCTCATCTCCGCAGACCATGTGGTAAAGAGTGTGGCCGTTGATTTCGTGGCGGATATTTTCATATTCCTCGCGTGGAAGTATGCGGCAAGCTCCGCGAGATAGGGGTTCAACCTTTCGCATATGTCATCGACCACTGGACCCGACGCCATGATCGTATTATCATCCGCATACGTTACGATCTCAATGCCGTCTGGAGGGCGAGGAATTCCGGAAAGGTAGAGGTTAAACAGTTCCGGAGATATCACCCCGCCTTGGGGAACTCCCTGTTTCACTCTACGGGCTTTGGACTTCTTGTTCCGGAATTCCACGTACGACTGGCGTCCACACATATAGTTGATTATCCAACGTTTCAAACTTGGCCGGAGGGTAGTTCTCTGTACATCCTCAAACAGTGTGGCATGATTGACCGTATCAAATGCCTTTGATAGGTCAAGGGCTACCAACACTGTTCTGTCACACGGCC